AAGGTCCTCCTTAATTTGATTTATTTTCTTATTCTTAAAATATTGATTCAGTTGTACACAATTTGGTAAGCTCCAGAAAAAATTAGCAATCATTTGATTGAGGAAAATTGTAGTTTATATTGATCTCCTTTCTTGCCAAGATCATGCTATTATTGCTGACAGCAACAATTAATTTTTTTTTGGTCTCTTCCTGTCTCAATATTAGCTGAAGTTGAGGAAATACAGACCATTGTTTGACATGTAATTCTGAAAGATGTTTTATTATTGGGTCCAGGGATTTGTATAGTTCCAGTAATGGCCATGGACTCCACTTGACCTCAGATGTACTTAAAGTGTTGGTTGAGGGCAGGAATTTAGGATTTTTTAAATGTATGCTAGTTACAGGCACAGAAATCTTATTGACCATCTGTTCGTTTCCAAAACCCATAGAAGCCACAGGAGCATGGATTTATGGGTTTGAGGAACAAACAAGAAGTTACTTCAGAGCTCTTTACCTCCAGTGCCAATCTGTTAGATCTCCAGTTAAATCTGGGAAACTACCCTTGCCACCTCCATTTTACAGATTACTGTGAAGCTTATATTTCTTTGCTTCCCTCTGTTAAGCTTCTGATGTAGTCAAGGTTTCCTTCATTTTATGGCATTATTCCAAGGTGATAAAAACAATCTGCCTGAAATATCTTTTTCTCTACTTTTGGTACTGCCAGGCACATGATCCATCTGATGACAGGAAATAGCAGGAGCCTATGGAAATGTATAGCATTAGCTTGAAAACATAGGCCAAACTGGCTTTATTTAGACAGGTTTGTATTTTCCCAATCCTTAACGCATGCCTTATTTGCATATCGAATAACTTACAAAGCTGTGGGTAATTTCCTCTGTTTTTGACTTTTGAAAATGAGTTTATTTTGCTTCAAAGATCCCTTTTGGCCTACTCAACACCACACATACTTTTTCTAAGGATAAACTCAGAATCTCTTGGCAACCAATTAGTCAAATCAACAAGTATCTATTGATCTTGACCTCAGGGACAGTTCCCTTCTTGTGGCATATCGAGTACAACTTTTATTGAATTCTCCATAAAAGCATTCCTGTATGACTCAGAAACACAGAAATGATATGTCGGTCAGAGAATCTGATTAAACATTTCTACTATGAGAAATCAAGATACTTCCTGATGATTACAAGGACAGACTGTCCTGGTTGGCACTTTGTTGTGAGAAAAGGATCTTTCCTGGCACCACAGAGCTTTTTGAGTTTGCAGCTGGGCAATTTCTATCAGCATCAGTGGCTACCTTTCCTTGCCCCCTCTTGGCCTCTGCTTTCATCATACAATATTTTTCAAATATTTGAACTATACGGTTATGCTATTGGAGGCCATGACTGAAGAAAGCTGTTGTATATCCTTTGGGTCTAATTGTAGAGAATTACAGACTCATAAGCTATTAGAAGGGGAAATAACTTTCTCGGAAGTAATTGAGACCCAGAAAGAGGAGGTGACTTCCTTAAAAGTACACAGCTGATTGTTCCAGCAGAACTGAAGCTAGAATCCAGCCTTCGGGTCTATACCTCTCAGGTATAGAGAGTCACATTGTCAGAACAGAACAAAAATGGCCTTGGTAGAAAAATTTGTTAAAAATAAAAAATCAGTGGCTCACGTCTGTAATCCCAGCACTTTGAGAGGCTGAGGCAAGAGGATCCCTTGAGCCCAGGAGTTCAAATCAGGCTGGGCAACATAGTGACATCCATTCCTTCTTCATACACAAAAAATCAGCCAGGCAAGGTGGTGTGCGCCTGTAGTCCCAGCCACTTGAGAGGCTGAGGTGAGAGGATCGCTTGAGCCTGGGAGGACGAGGCTGCAGTGAGACGTGACTGCGCCACTGCACTCCAGCCTGGCTGGCAGAATAAGACCGTGTCTCAAAAAAAAAAGGTCTGTCTGCTTATGAAATTGATACATGTTTATTGTAGGAAATTCAGGAACTACAAAAACAAGAAAAATAAGATTAAATAATCAGGATTTTTACCAAGTTAATTATTGTTAAATTTCCTTCCAGTCTATTTCTCTCTACACACACACACACTCACACACACACTCTATATATCAGTTAGAGTTTTTGACAAGAAACAAAAGGAATACCTAGCTTGTATTTTGAAGATAATTATATGAAGGGACTATTTATATAGCTTTAAAGGAGCTAACAGTGGATGTTGGGACACCAAGAGACTAGCCACAGTGGACAGGGGGAAGAAAAAGTGTGTGGGAGCTCAGCAAGAGCTGGAGCTGGGGGAGAAGAACTGGCCATCTGAAGTTGTAATAATAGAGGACATGAGCAAAGGGTTAGCCAACCCCAGCCCCCTCAGCACGAGCATTTGAGCTGTGGTTAGTTTCCTAACTCTGTTTCCTTGGCAGTCTGAGAAAAGTTGGAATGCCGAATACGTTAGGAGGCAACTTTGCTTATGCTTAAAATGATCCCTGGATTGGGAGAATTATAAAGACTTGATGGAGAAGCCATATTTTGGGCATCTCTCACTGCAGTGATTCTTGTGGCTGGGCACATTTCTTGCTGGGTCCCTGGAGTCAGTGTGCCTGTGGGGGCATTTCAAGACATAATGGCTCCTGTAGGATAGGCGGATTTTAAGACAGGCAGCTTATAGCTGTTTTGCTCTTTATACCTATATTGTTTTGGCATGGACTGTAGCAAACACTCCCATTGAAAAGGGATACCTGATACTGCCCTGCTGTGTTTCCTGTTTTATATCCTTCTGAGTAGAGTGGCTGTAAGTGTGTCCTCTGTTAGTCTTTGAGCATGAACATGCAGTTGAATCTAAGAAAACTCAGCACATCTCAGGGATACATCACTGCCCAAACTGTGATGCAAAAGTATGGGGGGAAGGGGAAAAATACCCCAAGCTCTCTCTCCTTCTGTCCTCTACTCTCCTAGAACTCCTCCCCTTACTTTGACTAAACCTAACCGGAAGATGGAGCTCCAGAAGAAACGCCCTGATGGTCCCAGCTGTGGCAGGTACTCACCAGAGTTTATCATACTTCTATTGATGGACACCTGGGCTGTTTTCAGTTTTTAGCTGCCATGAACATTTGTGTACAAGGCTATAGTTACATATTTTAATTTCTCTCTGATAAATTCATAGGAGTTGAATTTTTGGGTCACAGGATCGACAAACATTTAACTTTTTAAGAAATGGCCTGTTTTGGCATGGTGGCTCACAATTGTAATCCCAGCACTTTGAGAGGCCAAGGCGGGTGGATCACAAGGTCAAGAGATCGAGACCATCCTGGCCAACATGGTGAAACCCTATCTCTACTAAAAATACAAAACTTAGCCGGGCATGGTGGCGCATGCTTGTAATCTCAGTTACTCAGGAGGCTGAGGAAGGAGAATCTCTTGAACCCAGGAGGCAGAGGTTGCAGTGAGTGGGGATTGTGCCACTGCACTCCAGCCTGGCAACACAGCGAGACTCCATCTCAAAAAAAAAAAAAAAAAGAAATGGCCTGTTTTTCAAAGTGGTTGTACCATTGTATAGTCCTGCAAACAATGTAAGAGAGTCCCTCTTGTTTCACACATTTCCAGCATTTGGTGTTCAGTTTTTCATCTGGGCCATGCTAGTGGTTATGTAGTAGTGTCTCGTTGTGGTTTAATTGAATTTCCCCAGTGACTAATGATGTGGAGGAGGTTTTCATGTTCTTATTTGTCATGCACACAGCTTTTATGAAGTATCTGTGCAAGTCTTTATAGAATTTGATTGTCATTTGATTGATTGTTATTGTCTATTTGATTATTTTTATTATTGAGTTGTAGGAGTTCCTTATATGTTCTGGATACAAGTCCTCTGTCAGATATGTGTGTTATGATCATTGTCTCTCAGTCAGTGGTTTATTCATTTTCTCAATGGTGGCTTTGATTAAGCAACATTTAAAAATGTTGTTAAGTCCAACTTATAATTTATTTCTTTTTGTTCCTTCTCTTTGCTTGCCCTAAGATTTAGAAAAAATCCTGGTTGTAGATTATTAAAATAATTTCAATTTAAAAATGAAATCCAGGGTGCTTTTCAGATTACCATGTGTCCTACTTCATAGCAGGTGTGTCTTCATAAAAGTTTATAAAATGCTGACTGCTTAGCATTGCAAAGAGACCTTGATACCATTTTTTCCAAACTCCTCCCTAACATTAGATTTCCTTTAAAAAATATTTCTGATAATAATTCAGCCTCTAGATGTGTATTAGACTGTTCTCTCACTGCTATAAAGAAATACCTGAGAATGAATAATTTATAAAGAAAAGAGGTTTAATTGGCTCACGGTTCTGCAGGCTGTACAAGAGGCATAGCAGCTTCTGCTTTTGGAGAAGCCTCAGGAAACTTACAATCATGGCAGAAGGTGAAGGGGAAGCAGGCACTTCTTACATGGCCAGAGCAAGAGGAAGAGAGAGAGAAGAGGGAGGTGATACACACTTCTAAACAACCAGACCTCGTGGTAACTCACTCACTCACAATCACGAAAACAGCACTGAGGGTATGGTGCTAACCCATTCATGAGAACTCCACCCCCATGACCCAGTCACCTCCCACCAGGCGCCACCTCCAACGCTGGGGATTACAATTTGACATGAGATTTGGTAGGGACACAGAGCCAAACCATATCAGGATGCTTCTAGAGATTGAAAGCTACCAGAAGTGAGAAATGAAGCCAAATATAAAATAATCACTTCTTGAAATTGACACACTCTTTTAATAATTTGCTAAGTAGAATTGTATGCAATAAAAATTGGGTTCCTTTCCTGCTTTTTGTATGTACAATTGGACCTTTACCTCCTAAAATGGAAAGACTTTAAAGCATTATAAAATATTGTTTTGAAGGGAAGAAATATTGTTCGAGAAGCAAAGCTAACCCTCAAGGCTCAGTTGCTTTGAGGTTGGTATGTGACAGCACATTTCCAGCCTGGAAATGATGTTTTTTTTTTTTTTTTTTTTTTTTTCTTAATTAGGAACCTGACCTTGATGGTGAAAAAAATATGGAAGTAACTCCAGGAGAAAAGGTACTCAGGAACACCAAAGAGCAACGGGATCTGCGTATTCGGCTGAGAGAGATTGATGAAAAGCTGAGAATGATGAAGGAAAATGTGGTAAGTCTTTCTTTTTTTTAAATTAACTTTTTTTTAGACAAAAATAGAGTTGGGGTCTCTCTATGTTGCCCAGGCTGGTCTCGAACTCCTGGGCTCAAGTGACCTGCCCCATTCAGCCTCCCAAAGTGCTAGGATTCCAGGTGTGGGCCACCACACCTGACCATCTCTCTTATTTAAAGATGGTATAACCAAAACTTGTACCAAAAAAGGTTTCAGTCTCTTTTGACTATTTTATGACTCTTCTCATGTGTTAAATCAGCCATGTGAATTTGTCAGTCACAATGTGAATAAAAGCTAAACATATAATTCATAGGACTTTGATATTATTCTGAATTTAAGCAATTTATATAATATAAAATATTAATTTAAATAACATAAAGCATATTCTGACTTCAGATAGTGTGTAAGATACTTCGGATAGTGTGTAAGATACTATCTGAAGTCAGAATAATTATCCTTAATCCTAATATTCTGACAGTGACACAAATACTCATTTTTTTGTGGAAAAATTTGGTAGTTCTCCCTAAAATCATCCTTCTGTTTTGAACTTATAGCTTAAATTCTCTCACTTTTTGTTTGTAATTACTAATATATTATTAGTAATTAATGAATTTTAATGCATTCCAAGTCTTTCTTGGCCTACTTCATGTTTTTCTTGCTCAACATGAAGACATGTCATTACTGATGAGTGAAAACTCTTAGAGCAACCCAGTTGTGAGCTGGTTGATACTCTGAACCTGTTAGAAATGCTCTATCGTATTATGATTTTCCAGCTACCTACAGCATGTTTTTAGCTGGATACCTGGATTTTCCCTAAAATTAAACATGTCAAGGCTGAGCTTGTGACTGTGGTCTTGTGGTAATTACCTGCAGTAACCCCTTTTGGTTTCCTGCTAAATTCTGTCATCTTGGGTGATCTTCAAGCCTCTTTGAGTTTTAAACAATGTGACTAATTTGTTGCCATATCCTTCCTGAGTTGCTTATGACTCAAAGTCTTTTGTTTTCTGTCCCTACTTTTATCACCCTTCTCTCAGTGTTGTCACCTCATGCCTTAGCCACTTATAACCTGGTTTTTGTAGGATTTCTTGTTTCCAGTCACTCCCTCTGTCATTATTCCACTTAATATACTGCACTGTGGAGTAAACGTCAGGTGAGTGATTTTAAAATATGCTCCCCTTCAGAGCCCCTGAGTGTGTGTCACAATCCCATCTTCACACCTTAATGGTCAAGCCCAGCTGAACTGCCCTCACTGCCCGCAGGCCACAGATAGCAGCACTGACACAGAGCCTGATGGAGATCAGGGTCACCTCATGAGAGTTAGGCAGCAGATCTAAAGGGAATGAATACATGGTGCTTCTTTTAGAGCTCATTTTTATTTGCTTTGCATGGAGAATCTCATGGGTGTTATATTTCAGGGAGACCTCTGTTTCCATTTTCAGAGAGATTTCCCTGATTCTGTTGATGGGATGAAGTAGAAGAAGTAGGAATGGGCCGGGGGCAGTGGCTCACTCCTGTAATCCCAGCACTTTGGGAGGCCGAGGTGGGCGGATTGCCTGAACTCAGGAGTTCGCGACCAGCCTGGGTAACAAGGTGAAACCCCGTCTCTGCTAAAATCCAAAAAAAATTAGATGGGTGTGGCGGTGTGCACCTGTAGTCCCAGTTACTTGGGAGGCTGAGGCAGGAGAACTGCTTGAACCCGGGAGGTGGAGGTTGCAGTGAGCCCGAGATTGCACAACTGCACTCCAGCCTGGGCAACACAGTAAGACTCTGTCTCAAAAAAAAAAAAAAAAAGTAGGAATGGTAGGGAAGTGTAAGGGGGCTCTTGGCCATTCATTGTAGTGGTAATGATGGTACATTGTAAATTCGATGTTGTAAATGAAATGTTTGTGGTTTGATTGGTTTTGAAAACTGTTGGTACTTCCTCTCACCCCATATCTGCCAATCCAAGGTGGGCTAAGCCTGTCACTCCCCATGATCCATTCTCCTGATTTTTGACTGCTGTGGTCTGGAGGTTTGTGTCCCCCCAGAATTCCTTTTGAAACCCTAATCCCCAAGGTGATGGGATTAGGAGGTGGAGAATTTGGGGAAGTGATTAGGTCATGTCAGTGAAACCCTTGTGAGTGAAATTAGTGCCTTTATAAAAGAGGCCCAAGGGAACTCATTTGCCCCTTTTACCATGTGAGGATGTAGTGAGAAGTCACCCCTATCAACAAGGAAATGGGCCTTTACTAGGCACCAAACCTGCCAGCTCTTTGATCTTGGACTTCCCAGCTTCTAGAACTGTGAGAAGTAAGTTTCTGTTGTTTATAAACCACCCAAAATACCATTATTTTGTTGCCCAGACAGACTTAAGACACTGGCCATTTATCACATACCTTGAACATGTACCTGTTCTTTTCTACCACGTCTCTACCATTATTTAATTTTTGGCTCAAAACCAGGATCCTTTAAGAAAGCGTATGTCATTCCACTGCCTTATGAAGTTTGGCTACACTTAAAGGGATATAATAAATGTCAAGAGTTGGTTGTTATCCAAGTGGAAAAGAATAATACATGAGTAGATAAGAGCAGTTACTGAATACCAACTATGAGCCAGGCACTGTCCCAAGTATTTTACAGATACTAAAGTGTTTAATCATCACAGCTGCTCCATGAGGTAAATACCGGTCCTCATTTTGTAGATGAAGAAATGGAGCGAAAGAGAGGTTGACTAATTCCTTAAGGTTACACGGCTAGTAAGTGGAGGAGATAGGATTCAAATGGTTAGTATTTAACAACTATGCTATTACTGCCTTTCTGGGACTTGCTTTTCTTTTCATGATTAATGTTTTTTTTTGTTAATTAAAGTGTGATAAACTTGTTATAATCAGTAATATTCATGAGTGAAATGTTTGGGTTCCCCTATACAAATTTTATTTTCATAGTTTTGTCTTTTACAGTTAACACTTTTAGAGGCTGTTATCTGCATGATAAAGGCCCACAAATGTTGATCTGTACTGTTTTATGTTTTTTTTTTTTTCTGAGAATATCACTTCCGTTGCCCAAGTTGGAGTGCAGGTAATCCTCCCACCTCAACCTCCTGAGTAGCTGGGGCTACAGGTGTGTGCCACCATGACCAGCTAATTTTTTTATATTTAGGAGAGGCAGGGGTTTACCTTGTTTCCCAGACTGATCTGTCACTCCTGAGCTCAAGCAATCTGCCCACCTTGGCCTCCCAGAGGGCTGGGATTACAGGCCTGAGCCACCACGTCTGGCCCTGTTTTATGTTTTCATTGCTTAGTGTAGATTCATAACTGTAGATTCCTAACTGAGTTCATAATTGTGGATTCACATTGTGTACCATGTGACCTGTTGAGGGGAAGATACTGTGTGTTTCAAACTCTGAAAACGCACTGTACCTCATAGATGGCTAGATACTATTTCGACCCGGAATCTGGAGACCTGAGTCCTTGTTTCAGTTTTGTTTATAGCCTGCTCTGTGACTTTGAATAAATTACATAGTTTCTCAGAGCAGGGGTCCCCCACCCCTGGACCAAGGACCAGGTACAGGGCCGCTCAGCAGGTGGTGAGCAGCAGGTGAGGGTGGCTTCATTTGTGTTTATAGCTACTCCCCATCTCTTGCTTTACCTGAGCTCTGCCTCCTGTCAGATCAGTGGCATTAGATTCTCATAGGAGCACGAGTCCTATTGTGAACTGCACACGCCAGAGGTCTAGGTTGCACATTCCTTGTGAAAATCTAATGCCTGATCATCTGAGGTGGGACAGTTTCATCCAAAAACCATACCCCTCCTCCACCCCTCCCCCTATTGCCAAAAAGGTTGGGGACCACTGTCTGAGAGACTTCATTTCATTGCTTTAAAGTCAAGAGAGTAGTGCAAGATGACCTCTGTTCTTTTGCCAGAGATTGTTGGCACACTTACTTTTAATAAGAAGTGATGTTATTTTTAATATATAGTATCTAAAACTAGTTTGTGTGTTTCCTAAATATTTGGTATTAATTGGATTAAATCTTCTATTGAAAGTTACTTTTGGAAGTTTAGTAACACTTTTTAGGAGAATGCGAGATTGTCTTTTCTATATACAAAATTAGTCTACTGCCCTCCAACCAGAGAATGTGGTTTCTGAATGATAGGAAATGGCCAACTTTGCAGTTTTGCCTTATTCTGCCTCCTGCAATGGAACATCCTTTCAGGATTACCGGTGGAAGACGTAATCTGTGGCCATTGAATTGGTGATCTAAGGATCAAACCCATATCCTGTTTTAGGGATGGGAGGAGAAAGAGTGAGCTAAGGGGCAGTATAGGAGCCCTAGGGGGTACTGGAAACGCCTGCATCCAGGATTGATTTGTCAGTAAAGGCTGGAAAAGCAGCTTAATTCTGTGTTTCAGGGTTAGGCTGAGGCTACTGATGCACATTTGTCTTGGTCAAGACTGGTTGAGGAAGTGGGATTTGATTTAGTCCGTAGGAGGTGGTAGTGTTGTTGGCATCAGTGGATTTAGCTATTAGGAGCTAGGGAAAGTAGACGATGAAATGAGGTTGAAGCTCACACACTTAATATGAAACTCAATAGGCATCAGGGGCCTTGAAAAGCCGCTCTGAGAGTGGAGGAAGGATGAGCCGTGGGTGCTGGAAGCAGCATGTGTGAAGCACATCTGTAGGATTTCCTTAGTGTGAGTTAGCTGTGTCATACAGCTGCTCTGGGACACATTAAGAGAGAAGTAAGCAAAATGGATCATCTGTAGATATTAGAGTGACCAAGATGAGGAAGAGATGTAAAACCAGGTCATATGAAGGATCGTTAATGGGGCTACATGTATTTATTTAGCCCAGCAAAGAAGAGACCAGTGCATGTGTGTTTTGTATGTGTTTGTTGGAGTAGGAGGGAAGGGGAGTGGTTTGGTAGAAAAATCACAGATGGTCACTTCCCAAAGAGATTTAAAGGGCTGACATATTAAATATTAATTTGATTCTTTATAGTGGAGGAGGAAAATGCATGGTGA